TCTCTCTCTCACACACACCTACACGTCTCTCTCTCTCACACACACCTACACGTCTCTCTCTCTCTCACACGTCTCACACACGTCTCTCTCTCTCTCTCACACACGTCTCTCTCTCTCTCACACGTCTCTCTCTCTCTCTCACACACTTTTTGGTTTTGCTTCAATGAAAATCCTGAAAATCTATTTCAAGGAAAAATAAAAGGGAATAAAAATTCAACCTCCTCCGCTCATGAAGCAAAGTATTTTCTTTTTTTGTATAATTGTAAACGACTAGTGTAAACAATGAATCATTTACAATTTGTTTTCCTCAAAATGATTCATAACACCTCGTATAAAGATTGCCTTAGTGGAAAATGGATTGAGTTGCTGAAGAAGCACTTTGATCATCCGTCACATGGAACAGGTTCAAGAAGATCACAGTGCTTCACTGCGTTCCAGAAGCTCTCTCCAGTATAACTTAACTCTCTCTCTGGCACTTACAACACAAACAAACCAAGGTGTTTTATGTACTTTTGAGGAAGAAAAAAAACAAAACTTAAATCAAAGCTTTTATATTTGCTTTAAGTGCCAGAGAGACGCAAAGAATCAAGACACCCAGAAAGCATCTGATAACACACTTGGCTCCGGTAACCCCCCCCCCCCAAAAAAAAAACTCCACAAAAAACCCCACAGCAGTATCCCCCCCCCCCCCCCCCCCCCCCCCTCTTCAAACTGCTTTAAGCAACATCAAAAATAAATCTTAAAAAGCAAAAATACTCTCTTTTGACGTCTTTTTTTTTTTTTTACGTTAGTGACGCTCTGTAAAGGGGAGGACAAAAACAAAGAAGTCACAGCTGCCTGTTCAGAGATGCTACAATGTTGCTTTCAAAAACACAGAGCCCGCCCCTCACACGCTGGGAACCATAAAACATAGCTGTGCTGGGGAGACAAAAATAAAAAAGTATCGCTGCTGCAGAAAGAAAACTGACTTTTCTAGTTTCAGTACAAGTTAAATTAAAAAGGTCAATGTAGTCCTTTATACACTGAGCAGACTCCCATGAAACCATTTCATATCCAGTATAAGGTTTCTGAAGAGCAGTTTCTAGTGCGACAGCAGCGATACAACTCAAGAGCTTGGCATCCAGCCTGAGTATTGACATTGGCAACCAATACATTCACCAACTTGGATTTTGTCACGATGGGGCCTAAAAAGAAAGGTTTACCTCAGTATTTGGAGAAAGAAATAATGCTCCAGTAAATAATAACTGTATTTCCACACAATAGAACCGACTCTGAAGCAGTCGGCAAAGAGAAAAAGAAAATTCTAACTATTGTTTTGCACCAACTTCCACAAAAACTATTTATTCCATGGACCCGTCATTCTGTGTCTGAGCTTAGCGATGCAGACGTTCGTGTCAAAGCTGTTCTGAAACAGCCTCTGATGCATTAGTCCTGCACTGCTGCAGCATGAAGGAGAAGAAACCAGTTTCACAGCTACAGTGGCCCGACAGGTTTACAGTACTCACCAGCCCAACGGGATCAATGTCAAAAAACCTCCAGACGAGGAGAAGCCGTCTGCAGGCCGACTCACCAGCAACAGCCAAATAAACTCCATGGATCAGTAACGGGGGCTTGTGTGTCGAGCAGTCTTCTCGTATTAACTCTGCTCGTGTACTATTCATGATGAAAGGGGGGGAAACAGTCACGCAGTATTTAAATAAAGCTGCCCTTGTTTTTCTTTATTGCAACGTTCACATTAAAAATACACGTTCACATTCAGGATGTATTTTTTAAAAGGAGTTTGAGCCGTGTTACTACACACCTCTCAGTAGCAGAGAGAGAGCGTGTGTGTGTTGTCTTTTTCCCTTGCATAATGGATGTGTAAATAAACTCGCGTTACTATTAAATTCATCGTATTTGTGCTCGTACTCTGCTGCATGACAGAAGACAGCAGGCTATGAAAGGATGAGTGCGCATGGGAGTAAGTAAGGCACTTGAGTGACGACAACAGTGTTAGGTGGACAGACCGGTGGCTGGTGCGAGTGCACCGTTGTACGGTTAAAAAGAGGCCGACCTTGCTGCCGACAACGACAACTGTCTCTGAGAAGGACGGCTTCAGAACAGCTCCGATACTCTCTGTTTAGGACAGCCGAGTGTCGTCTCACCGAGATCACGCGGAGGAAAGAAACACTAAGCTCATACGCAGGATGCACGGTCCATTCCGAGTTTGGTGCAAAACAATATGGCTTCTCAATTAATTATGGAAAAGAAAAGAAAAGAAAAAAAAAAATAAAAAAAAAAAAATGAATGAGGCAGCGCTTTTTGTGGAAAAGATAAGGAAATGTTTAAAAAAAAAAACAGTCTTTGCGTCCACTCTACAGGCTCTGGGAGAAATTTGGAACTGAAGAGTTGCCTGTGTGCGATGATGTCTGTGCAAAAGCCCGTAGCATCCTGGAGGGGACATAAAAACTCTGGTTAGGAAGAAGAGCCTCATGTTTTAAAGCAGTAAAGGTCTACTTATCATCTCAAAGCGTCTCGCCTGTTTTAGGTGCCGTCCTGTTGGCGTCCTGGCTTCTCCTCGATCTCCTCCACATCGCAGTCGGCGCCGGACGTGTGGAACTCGGCCACGTAGAGGCTCTTGTCGATGCTGCTGGGAATGGGCTTGATGTCGGTCACCAGCTGGTCCTCGATGGCCTTCAGGTTGAAGCGGTCCTCTGACGTGATCAGGTTGATGGCCAAGCCCAGGTGACCAAACCTCCCTGAGAGAGAAATGGAGTCAAAATCACTGTCTTCTAACCAGCTTATTTATTTCATCTACTCCTAACCGAGACACGCTTTGTGGAATGAAAACCAATTTACATCCTGTTAAGTGTCCAAAGATTTTCAAAGTAAGACTAAGTAAAACTGGGCAGATGGAAGTACAACAGTAGTATCAAGTTTAACACATTGCATCAAACATTCATCTTAACGTTTATTAAAACAAGCTACCGATTCTTTGTGCGTTTGTATGTACATTTTTAAATCATAATTTTGCTTTGCGTTCTTCTTCTAAAGCCCGTTTTCAATCCACTTTCCACAACAGAGACAGTGAGGCCTTCAAATAATGAAGCGGTGCAAACATACCTGATCTTCCAATGCGATGGAGGTAAGTCTCAGCATTCTTGGGGAAGTCAAAGTTGATGACTACATTGACAGCCTGGATGTCAATACCCCTGGTGAAGAGATCTATTGGAAGAAAGTACATTTCAATCTCTGATGACCTCTGTGGCTTTCTGACAAAACAACATAAAAGATTGTTTACAAGAGAAACTCACCAGTGCAGACCAGGTTCCTGCACAGTCCATTTCTGAAGTCGTGAAACACGCGGTTTCTGTATTCCTGAAAACAAAGACGTAAAAATGCTGCAAAAGAGGCCATCATGCAGCAAAAGAGTGGCCATCTAAATAAAATTAAATAAGACATCAAAAGGCATAAAGGCAACATTTCTTTCAGCCATTTCTCGTCCTCACCTGCATCATCTTGGCGTGGATGTAGAAGCAGGAGTAGCCCAGCTGAGTGATCTTCTTGGCCAAGAGCTCCACCCTCTGAGTGGAGTTACAGAAGATAATCGACTGGTTGATCTGAAGCTGAGAGCGAGAGAAGAATATGTTATGGATCAATGGATCAACCACGCGTCTTGTGGTTCCGATCAAATTGCTAAATTGACCAATTTACTGTTGAAAGAGGAACTGGAGCAGGTTGTTAGCTGCAACCTTAAAAAGCTAAACTAGACTGTTCAAAAATGCACTGCTGTACTTTTGTGATTGGGATAAAGTACAACACACAGAGGTTTGTTGGCTGGCAGTTTAAAATGCATAGGTGGTGAATATCTAATTAGCCAGTTACCCTGGAGAACAGTGTGTTGAGGCAGTGGACTTTCTGCCTCTCCGTGACGTAGGCGTAGTATTGAGTAATGCCCTTCAGAGTCAGCTCCTCCATCAGGTTGATCTCGTAGGGTTTCTGAAGATGCTTGGCCTGCAGCAAGGAGACGCGCAGAATACAATAGTTTAGAGTGTGTATTTAAAAACTGATGTACAATCATGAAGAACTTCATCTGATCAGTTTGTTTTGTTTAATATTTAACTCTTACAGTTCAATATAGCTTTACTTAACTGATATCAGAAAAGTGTACACAGTTTTCTTAGAAAATGTCAGCATTCCAACAGACAGTAAAAAGACTTTTACAGAATCTAAACTATTAAATCCTGCGACTGTTGGCCGAGTTGCTTTCGCTGAAGACGGCCCTTTAAAAAGTATACCAGAGACAAACACAAGCACAGATCTGGACACCGTGTGAGAACAGCTTGGTCTGCTAGTGTGAGCCAAGCGGTGCCAAGAGGCCCCGAGCCATCGGCTGGCCGAGTGGTGCAGCAATCAGCCGACTACCCACCATGAACTTCTGCACGCTGATGGGGAAGGTGGCAGAGTAGAGCAGGATCTGCCTGCCCTTGGCCAGGAAGCTGATGATATCCTCGATGAGCACCACGAAATCCTGAGACAGCAGCTTGTCGGCCTGAGAGGAAACGGAGACAATTTAACAGGAAGCTGGCAAAAACAAACCGAATTTGATGAGCATGGAATGACAGAATTGAGATGCATTAGAGTACACACACTACTGATTATGAGCAGATGTCTTAATATATATATTTTTATATTTACCTCATCCATCACCATAATCTGGACTCTATCCACCTTTGCTACTCCCTTCTTTATCAAGTCCAGGATCCTGCCAGGCGTGGCGATGACAACATGCACTGATGTGGAAAAGGTGAAAACATTGAAATATGTTTATCTTATATTTGTTGGAAACAAAAACAGAGAAGTGTACTTTCTTAACACCAGATGAACTCCATAAGCCAACATACAGAGCTGATACTGCGACATGTGTCCATGAAGTCGGTCAGTGAGACACACTGCGGCTTCTTACCGGTCTCATCCAGACGCATGATGTCATCTCGCAGGTTGGTGCCCCCGGTGGTGGCCATGACTTTGACCCCCCCCAGGTGTTTGCTGATCTGGATGGAGATCTGGCTCACCTGCAGAGCCAGCTCACGGGTGGGCACCATGACAAGTGCTAGGGAATAAAAATTTTAAAAAAGTACTGGTTACAAATATAGTTGGTGGCAAAAAGATTTACAAAGAAACAGCTTACAGACAAGAGATATGCTAAGAGTAGGAGGGACACTGAGGGTACAGATAAGGCAGTGAGGGGCAAGGAAGATAGAGCGGAAACAAAATGACGACCAAATGAACAAGGGACAAAAGTGACGTAGATGGTTGAGAGGATGAGAGACGGTGTAAAACTACATGCAGCGTCTCACCCTGTATGTAGTCCTTTTTCAGGTCTATTCTCTCCAGCAGTGGGATGAGATAAGCTCCACTTTTCCCTGTTCCGTTCTTAGCCCGAGCCAGAATATCCCGTCCAGATAGGGCGATGGGAATGCTCTCCTCCTGCAAGGACAAAATATAAATACATTATCTTTAGCCTCATTCTGTTAGTCCTACAGTGTCATAATGCTGCAACACAGATATCCTCTACATGATGATTTTTGCACATTGGGATTCTATAAATCAGACCTTTTCATAAAAAAGGGACGAGGATTACATTAGGTTCATCTGGCAAGCAAATACAATGTAACCAAAAAGAAGCCGTACCTGGATAGGGGAAGGTTTCTCCCAACCCATCTCAAAGATGCCCATCAGGAGTTCTCTTTTGAGACAGTAATCTTCAAACTCATTCCCCTTCGTGGACGTCACATCCTACGGGACACACAGGACGGTTAGGATGACAGCAGAACACCAGCTTTCAGATTCAGTAAGAGTAGACAAACCGCTGTTTAGCGGGACTCACTGAAGTCTTGACCCGGTTGTCTCTGGGTGGGAGCTTTAGGCTCTTTTTCCAGTCATCTCCAAACTTGATGCCTCCTCCATCCTGAGCAGCACCGCCTGCTATCTGGGGAGCACCCAAAGCCTTTCCTTGAGTTGTGGGTGCTGGCTGGACTGAAGCTGGTTTGGTCTGTCCTCTGAGCTGCCCGTTCTGCTTGTTCAGTCCCATGATGACCGGGCCAGCGTTTTCTGTTCTGGCAGTGGCCATTTTGTCCCGTTTTCCTTGCTTGTTTTTTTTCTTCTTCTTCAAAAGTGTTAGATTTTTGCCTCTTAGGTTTTTCTTTTTAAAAATTCTCTTCAAAAGTAAAAAAGTTTAATAAAGCATTAACAAACAATATTCTCTATTCTTTTTAAGTCCAAAGCTTTCACAACTGAAGTCAATTGGTAGTATTTACATATACACATGTACGTGCAGTTCGGTCCCCTTCAACAACAGAGTGACTGACGTACAGGAACAACAACAAAACAAACAAAAGACACGTTTTTACACAAGAGCTCTTCAAAATGAAGAGAAATTTGCATTCATATGCATGTATATACTTGCCCACAATATAGAAAAATTATATGTGAACAAGTATCAAAGCGGTTCAAGTCCTGAAATAGAACAACTAAGGCAATCTGAACTTGGGGAACAGCCTCTTCAATATAATCTTAGTTCAATGCTTAAACTTGTCTTTCTAAATTGAACATTTCCTCTTTCCACTTTGAGTCCATAGAGTTGCTCACTATCCCTGTTCTTCCAAAAAAGGATGTCCACCTTTGTACACGTTTTTCCCCAATATCATATAGTCTGTAATGCTCTCCGTTTGTTTCCACTGTGTGTGGATATGTCGCTCCACTGTGTGAAAAAAAAACCTGGATCCTGAATTCACAAAAACAAAAGGGGGTTTCTAGTCCAAAGCCAAAAAGCTTTCCACCCCTTTTGAGTCCTCAGTGTGCGCTTCCTTTCTCCTCCAGGTGTTCCGACACCTCTCTCCACAGACACCACAGGTCTTCAGGTCGGTGTGTGAAGTGTGTGAGTGCGGCTGTGATCAACCCGCCACCTCCTCAAAGTCAGCCAACAACTCAAACATGTAACCTAAAAACAAATGCAAAAAATATAAATTAAATCCCCCCGAAAGGGTAAAAAAAAAACATAGGCAATTTATTATCACTCAAGCAATTGACAGGAAATTGCCTCTGAAACACCATTTAAGTAATCCATCAAATAAAAACAACCAAAACTTTACTACCAAATCTTCTTCAATGCAAAGATTTTATATCAAGAATCCAATACTAAGATCTTGCTGTAGTAGGGCTCCAACTAACTATTTCCATTATGAATTATTCTGCTGTTTCCTGCCTCTTATCTATTGGTCAATATACATGTCAGAAAATTGTGAAATTAATTTCCTGAAGCAGAGATATATATAGATATATAGATAGATAGATATATAAGTTGTGAACTGTTGCACCAAATAGATGTTCCTTTCAGATTCATGAATGATGTTGATTGCCAATTTCAATAATTCACGTTGTTTTGTAACTTATGATGGGTGCTTGTTATTGCCAACAGTTACAGACTAAAGGAGCACAGATATTGTGATATCAAGCTAAAACAAAACGAATAGTTTGTTTGATGTCCACTACCTCGCCAGACCTCGGCGAAAGGCTTTAACAGCTAATTTGCTAATTGCACAGGTGAACTTGCCAGGTGTCAATCATCTGAGGCCGATTAGCGAAACCCAAACTGCCAGGATTTAAAATAAGACTGGCCTACAGTAAAGACTATAGGTCTGACTGAGTTAAATCAAATATTCCCCGCATACATCATTACTCAAAAACCGCAAGTCGGTCAAAGTTGCTCCGAGCAGCTAGCTTTCTGTTCATTTACTTCGGGTAGCTTGAAACTGTCGGCTCGTATCGTTCGGGTTTTCTTTTACATGACCGACAGGTTATTCTTGTTTTTCATTATTTCCAAACCTTTTCAGCAATATGGTTAACATTTACCGTTATTATTAACTTTGACATATTCCAACCATCTGCGTTAGGTTTGGTTAATTTTCCTTCATAAAATCAATAACATGACGTTACCTTAAAGCTGCGTCTCAGGTGAAACAACATTAGCATTGTTGGGCTAACGTTCCTAAAGCTAAGCCAGTGTTAGCTCTAAGCTAACAAACCACTAAGCTGTTGAACACCCACAGAGTTTAAATTAGCTTTTAATTACGAAATGTGACAACATATGTGTAAAGTATGGCGCCTATAGCATTAAATGTCGTTGACGTAACATTCTTGTTAATTTAATTATTGACGTTGTATATGGCACAATTAGCAAGCTCGTTAGCCTCAGGGCTAATTTAGCTCAAATAACTCCACTCGCTAACGTTAGCTATGTGCTAGCCAGCTCTCAACAACTCGGATGTTTTTAACGGTAATTGGACGGTTCCGTGTCACCGCAGACCTACCTTAGTACCTCTGTTGTTTTTACAAGGTATATTCAGTGTGTGGTTGATCAACTACTTCCTTTAAAATTCGCTTCATAATCTGATTTTTACTTGAAATAAATCTCCTCTATTGTGTTTCTTCTTCCTTTAAATCAACATGGTCGCCTTCTTCTTCGTCTTCTCTTCCTCGGTGCCTCTCTTCAGTTTATTACATGCGACACTCTACAAAATACCACCACCTGCTGTCACACCTGGGTACTGCACTGATTATATGGGAATTCTCTATTTTACATTTCAAAAGAAATGATCATTCTAATGGAAATACCAGACTATTGAAAAATGTCAGTATTTACAGAGATATTACTAAATATGTTTTATTGTATTTATTGCTGTTGTTCTTTTCTGGTATTCTAAAACAATTTTCCAAACCGTTTTTATAATATTATTCAACAATTTATTCTTAATAATAATAATTACATAATGCATTTGGACATCCATGTATTATTTTTAAAATGCACATATAAAACGTCCTTCTCTATTTCAATTTTGCTAAAACTGAGAGGACTAGTTTGCAGAGACCGCACGTGCAGGCTAAGGCACGGTGAAACCAGACTTTAAGAACTACGTCATTTACACATCCAATCATATTTCTTCAAACATTTATCTGAGCCAATCATAGAAGCTCTTTCATGTGAGGCACAACGTCGGTTTGGTTGTTGCTGGTCGGTGTTGTCATTTCCAAAACCATGTCCCAAACACGTCCATCATGCTCAAACTTGTAGACGATTTTACATTATATCCTGGTTGTTGAATTTCGCCACAATGAGTAACTTTAGTAGAGAAGTCATCACTCTTCAGTTGGGACATTATTCAAACTTTGTTGGGACTCACTGGTGGAATTTACAGGTAAGCGGCTAACGCTAAGCTAGCTGACGTTAGCGTCGCATGTGGCGTCAAACTTCAGGGAGTATTCGATCTCTCCTCCGAGCTGCTGAGACGGCTAATGTCAACAGAGACCGCCAATGTCAGCAGCAACGTGAATGTGGACTGTGTGGTCATTTGAACAGGCCGAGTACCCGCTACGGGATGAAGCTCATAAAGATAACGGTGGTCATCTTTATAATGCTAACGCTGCTAATTGTCAAGTCTGAAGTCAGCAGTATATTTGTGATCAGATTGTCATATTGTTGATCGAAATTGGTGTGATTGTCTGGTAGAAGATACAGATGTATCGCTTCATATGATAACTTAAAACCGGTTTAGATAAATGACGTGATATTAGCCTCTGTTTGAATGACGGAGATGCTGAGCTACATTCTCATTGTCGTCTCATGTCCTGTAGAGGTGGTTGATAGCTTGTTGTATACAGTCAGTGGTTGATAGCTTGTTGT